TTTTTTTTTTTTTTTTTTTTTTTTTTTTTTTTTTTTTTTTTTTTTCGGGCGTGGCCAAGGTCCAAGGCATCTCTTCGTGTGGCCAAGGTCCAAGGCATCTCTTCGTGTGGCTAGGCGACAGCAGAGATTCCTCGGCCACACACGAGATTAAAAAAAAAGGAAAAAGGGCTTTTTTCATGTTTTTTTATTTTTTAAGTTTTTTTTTTTTTCTCTTAGGCGTGACCGACAAGTCGCGTCGCGTGGCTGGGTCACGGCCGAGATGCCTCAGCCACGCCCGAGATTAGAAGGAGGGGAAGGGCGGGAAACGTGCCTGACTAAACTGCAGTTACAAACTCGACTGTGCGACTTTTCTGCAAAGCGGAGTTCCGACTGCATTGTAACTTTGGACCCGACTTGACTGTGAAACGGCAGTTTCAAATGCATTTAGAAACTGCTTTTGTGACTGCGCCCTAGTTACCCCAATTTTAAATGGTTTTTAATGGCAAAAGTTTAGTCTCACACTATTGTGCGAGGGTGTAATACTGGGCTTACTCCAGTTCCTGGGTCACCACACCCAACATGGCTACAGTATTGTCAGATTACTGCAACGGCATCTCATTCGAAATTCTCCGCCAGTGTGACCAGCCTGAGGCACAAAGCCCAAAAAGCTTCTATTACAACGGCTGCAAAATTTGCAGATTTGCGTTCGCAGTCTGAGCATGCCCTGAGGCTTATGCTCTACAGCTCAGGTAAATTACTGGGTTGGTCCCTGGAGCCGGTTTCCAGCAGGGCGTGCTCCCCACCAATAGGAAGGAGCCATGGCACCTCCGTCAGAAGGTATTTTGGAGTCTGAAAGGTCCTGGTGCCTCCAGGCTCAGAAAAACAGTGGTGGCCCAATCAGCCCGGGCTGGCCGGGCAGTCATGATTTCTGAGGATTCCACTGGCCCTTGCTCTCTTGCCAAGGAAAACGGACCACAGAGACACCAATCAGCAGAGCCATCAGGATAGCATGATAAGCCCAAGGCGTCTGGAGGGGTCAAACGGAGCATCTGAGATTAAACCCCTCGCTCAAAATTGCAATGGATTCAAACTTTTGAGCGAATGGATAGAGGTCCTCTCTCAATGGCCAAACCAGTCCTACTCTTAGCTGACAGACTACTTACAGGTTAGACCATTTTTCACAGATAATTTACAAGAGTATTTGCATGATCCTAACTGAGATATTTTCATTCGGGATGCCATGCCCAGTATCTTCTAGCTTCTAAGGCCTGGACCCCACAGGGAAAAAACGTGAAAAAGCCAGCGTGGAAAAGCTTATCTTGGACTCCATCAAACAAAGCAGGCCCTACGGAAAGCCGATTTTAGGACAGCGGTGAGGTTTTCTGGGACCCAACAGCCTGGAAACTGGTATCTGGAAAAGCCACATTTTTTGTTTTCACATGGGTTTGGGGTCGGAAAAGTGGCTGTGGAGGAGTTTCTGCCCTTATGTTTGTGCCCTTTCCAGAGAGTAGGTGGGAAGGGGGGGGGGGAATGTCCATGGTTGGAAACTCCTCGCCAACCCACCGGCCCATCCATTGTCCGCCCGAAGCTGTTCCCTGGTCCACTGGAAAGGGCTACGGACATGCTGTTGTCGCCCAATAGGAAGGACAACCGAAACAGGCGCAAGGCTGGACATCAGCGACCACCATCTGGTCCATCTCCAGTTTCCAGCCTTTCGAAGCTTTCAGCCACTCCGGTGGGGTCCCGTCATTCCGCGGGTTTCCAAATACTCTTCCACGGAGACTTGAAACCCGTCACTTTTTAACCATTGGAACAGGCGAGCATGTATCTTCAGGTGCAAAGTGGAGCAGGGAAAGTGGAGACAGCAACCTTGAAAATATTCTTTTTCTTTTTTTTAAAGAAACGGCGATGGCCTTGAGATATCACCTGACCGGCCCCAGGCAATTCAGAAATAGTTGGTTTTACAACTTTACTCATCAAGTGGCTCTATCATGATCTGGATTTGAACACGGGTCTGTATTTTCAACAGTTAATGGGTGTACCCACTGAGCTAGCCTCTTATTTTCAACCTTGAAAATATTCAAGATGCGACGCCCCCCCTGCCCTCTCCAGTCGGGAAACCATGTGAAAACAGAAAATTCCGTATTTCCACGCCACAAAATTCGGGTTCTGGGGTCCCGGGACGCCCAGTCTTGGAGGAAAAAAACGTCCTTCCAAGGACTCCACAGAGGGCTGTCCGGTGGCGGAAATGTTCTGCGGCGAAGTTTTTCCTTTCCGGAAACCTGTGGGGTCCAGGCCAAAGACGAAGCACTCCGAGGATACAAACAGAAACTCCTCTAGCTGCTATTGGCCGCTGCTTGTGCGTAGGTCTCGTTCCCCATCTCTCTCTCTCTCTCTCTCTCTCTCTCTCTCTCTCTCTCTCTCTCTCTCTCTCTTTCTTTCTTTTGCGCGCGCGAGGGGGCATGCAGTTGTTTACGGGGTGCGTATTTGTTTGTATGAACATGTTCTTCTTGCCTTTTCTCTTTCACAAATACATCGTGCCGCCCAGACACGAGGACAGACACAGCTGTGGGCCCCCACATCTCCGTCGGTCCGTTCCTGGCTGTCGATGCCGTGTGAACGTGGACAAATAAGAAGCACTCCGAGGGATACAAACACAAACTTCTCTAGCTGCCATTGGCCGCTACTTGTGCGTAGGTCTCGTTTCACCACTCCACAGATATGAAAATCCCGACTTTATCTCTGTGGTTGCAGCTGGCAGGACACGCTACCACCTCCACACTCAGCGGTTGTTGAATTGAGCCCCCATCCATGCATTGGCCTCGCAAAGCACGGCTAGCCGCACTACGAGAACGCTGCTAACATGCCTTGACACAAACGACAGCGGCTGTACATTTTCTCCGCCCCATCTCTCTCTCTCTCTCTCTCTCTCTCTCTCTCTCTCTCTCTCTCTCTCTCTCTCTCTCTCTCNTCTCTCTCTCTCTCTCTCTCTCTCTCTCTCTCTCTCTCTCTCTCTCTCTCTCTCTCTCTCTCCCCCCCACTCACTCTTTCTGTGTGTGTGCGTTTGTGAAAAGGGAGAAGTGCCGTTCTTTCTGTGTGTGTGCGTTTGTGAAAAGGGATAAGTGCCGTCCGAATATGGACGGCGATAAAACCAGTCCGGGGTAAAGGCGCGCCTCCAGGCGCCATCGGCTTTGTCACCGTCGATTGTCACATTGGCGGGGCAATGCAACTCCATCGCCATAGCATACACCCCATCCACGGCTCTAGCCGTGAACTACTTTGTGCTTCTATACTAGAATCGTATGTTATACTCGACGTTACTCTACGGAGTTCCGTTATACGGTAGCCACCCCATCGAGAGTACTTTACAGTCCGTCCGCCTCTCCACCCCCCCTCTCTCTCTCTCTCTCTCTCTCTCTCTCGCGCGCGCGCGCGCGCGCCCGGCTGTGCGCCCTCGAGCGCTCGTTGCGAGAACATGTTCACTTGTCACGCTGTTCCCTGGCGCATCTTCATGGATGTGTTGAAGGGTACAGTCAGATATGTCCCGCCAGAGTAAAGCCGCCTCTTTTGATGGTACAGGGCTGGTGGTTCTCCCGTCGCCACGTGTCCCGTGTACTCACTTTCCTGACTTTGATTATCATTTTGTCAGTTACAACGCAACTGCGTCTTCATGAACCGTCGGCAGCCAGTTTTTGATTTGGCGTGAGCAAACGCGGCGTGTACCGCCCACTGGTTTTTGAACTTCGCCTAGTTCACGTTAAGACCGCCGTGATCTTTCGACCTCCTCGGGAACGTCATTGAGGCAGAAACAGCGGGGCAAAGATAGGAATGGTGGCAGGGGGCGGATGAGTTCTAGAGATCCATTCACCGGTTTTTGTTTTTTTTTTTCCTTCACCTTTGGATCGTTAACGTCTTTTTTCTTTTTTTTTACAACACACACACAGCCCCTTCTATTCTGGGGGGCACCAGTCCGCTTGCTTATCACCGGCAAGCGTGTTTGCATGGGCGGGAAATGAGTGATGGTGCCGCTTAATGCCTACTGGTATGGCTCTTTTTTCATCGTAGACAGCGAGGACTGACCGTGCTTTGTGTCGCTACGTTGCTGCGGACGGCTCGCAGAATGGAAGAGATTGGTCGACGCTCCATATGCAACACAGCCAGTCAGCGTTAGAGTGCTAATTCAGCAACGGCATATACTCCCACTGGGTCTTTGCTGGACGCATTTGGTCATATTCAGTGATGGATTCAGTTAAAGTAATCTAACGAATGTGAGCACTATGCGCTAACTTGTGTGAGTTGAGTATCCAGAGTGGGTGGGGACTTGTAACTCTCGGTAAGGGAAGGCGACTTCAGTTCGGGCAGTAGAGAAACGGTTTGCTTGGGGAGGAGGGGTTTCTCACGCCAATCCTCAGCGAGGGCGGGAGTTGGGGATATGAAGCTCCTGTATCCTGTTAGGGACCACTACACCGCTTTCTATGATCATTACAGGCGTCGTCGTGTCCGTTTCTTTGCCCAGATGCGGTTGGTCATACTAGGCCTTTTGATGACAATAGCGGCCACAGTTATGTGCGGCTGTTGTCTCCTCCTCGTATTCACAGGGGGCGAGGGATCAATTCATAGAACGGGCCAGTGGGGAGCTGGCACGAGAGCGATCGCCTTCTTCAGGAGTCGACGAGTGCCACTCCAGCAGCGCCGCAGCAAGAGCGGCAGATAGACCATTCGCAGCTCGTAAACGGTTCCATCACGCGCGTGACGTGGCATACCCTGTGGGCGAATGGGACTGCGGGGAAAGATTGCCGGACCGAAATTACGAGCGTGGTGGTCGGTTCGGGGGAACTGTATTTCTCGCCTGCACCGGTACTGCCAAGTGGATGGTGCTCTCGAGGATCGGGCGTTGTCGATTAGGAGACTGAACTTATCGCAGATGCAGGACGGCAACGGCAGTTCGAGCCCGCGGGAGGAGGAGGACTCCTTGATAAGTCACATGTGGCCATACGGGCAGCCGAACGGGACAAAAGTGCGCGAACCAGCGGACTTTGGAGGGGCTCACGTGACAGGAATGGGTCTGTCGAAAGATGGGATGCATCTCGTCTTGGGCGTAGCGAATGGAGATCCAAAAGAAATATGGGACAGTGGGACCAGATCTCGGACTGACAACGGCTCCGTGTTCACTTCTTTGTCTCTCGCCGACGGCTCTCGATTGTCATCTCCCCCTTTGAGCAAATTGTCCCAGGCGTGGGCGTTAGAGCCTAACAAGGGTTTTCTTTACTATTTGCAATCTGATTCCGCATTACTGAACGTCACGGTTAAYGATGTCGGACTTCCAAACGGCAATCCGAACCCGATATCCCCTCAGAATATCGGATTGCCGAGTGATCCTATCGATCCTAACGAGGAGTTCCAATCTGGAAGCCTTCTATCGGACGGCAATTGCCTGTACTCCGTGACTTCTACTGACTGGTTGTTCCCGTGGACGATACAACGTGGACATTTCCACCACTGTACGATATCACCACCTGCCCATTTGCTCCATCGGAGAGCGGTAGACGTCGTCGCAACGAGTTAAGGATGTCATCAGTACGTGTTCACAGCCGCAAACGATACAGTTGCGGTCTTCGTACTCTCCAGACCGATGGAAAGGGCATGCGGCGTGATTGGATTCAGGTCGGCCCTCCCACGTTATTTCGGCGTAGCGGATGTTACGGCATTGGCACTTGGTGATAACGGCGACGGCTTAAGCCTCTACGTTGGAACCAGCGATGGCAGCGTGTATCTCGTTCCGCTCAACAGGTCGGAACTGAGCAGTTGTGAAGAGGAACGGTACTGGCCGCGAGCAGTGGCAGGCGTACGTAGATTTCATCTTCGTTTATACCGAGTCGAGTATTTTCCGGTTAATCTGTGTTCGTCAGTACTGGCAGGCATGATCTATTTCGTAATAGTTATTGTACCCTCCTCCTGGGGCTCCGGATTCGATCCATGGACTTACTTTGTTGTAGTTGTTCCTTCGATATTTCCAGCAGTAGCAATAGCAACTTGGGCATTTGTGTGGGTTTGCGTGGCCAGAAAGCGTCGACGTCGAGCTCTGGAACAGGTCAATCACAACTCTGCCGTTGCTGGCCGGMCGAGGACTTCAGSTCCGCGGGACTGCACTGCTGTGGATTTCTGGGGACTGAGGCCGTCACGCGYCCAGCAGTTCGGGATAAAAACTCTATCGGATTGCACGGACAATTTTAGCTCGAYTCATCAAATCGGGAACAGAGGGTCATTTGGGAAAGTCTACAAGGGTTCGCTCGATGGGAAGGATGTGGCGATCAAGGTGATGGCCGGCGAGCTAACGGACACCAAACGGAACCAGTTCGTGGCGGAGGTGAACACTCTCAGTGCAGTTAATCACGTCAATCTCATCCAGCTCACTGGTTACTGCCAGGAGGGCAATCAATGCATCTTGGTGTACCCCTACTTCCCGGGGGGGTGCTTGCACGAGCGGTTATCTCCTAACACTGATAAGCAGCTGAGCATTGAGTTGGATTCTCCTCCCCCACTCACTCTCCAGGAGCGCATGAGCATTGCCTTCCAGATTGCCAGGGGGCTCCAGTATCTACACGATGATGCCAAGCCTCCCATCATCCATCGTGACATCAAGAGTAGCAACGTCCTGCTTGGCGATGGCTGTGGGGACACACTCCATGTAGTCATCACTGACTTCGGATTGGCGGCCATCGGGGAGAGGGTGTTGGACACAGGACACGACCATGTTGTGCTCACATCTCACATTGGTGGCACCTTTGGGTACATGTCGCCCGAGTACATGCTGAGAGGCGAGCTGTCCGAGAAGAACGACGTGTACTCCTTTGGGGTTCTTGTCCTGGAGATGCTAACGGGAAAACAGGTGGTCACACGGGCGCCTTCTGGGGTGGGATGGCAGACACTGGTGGAGTGGGTGAAGCCTTTCCTTCAAGATCAAGGTGAAAAAGCGCAACACCCGAGTCTGGACATGCCATGTGCTATTCTTGACCGCTGTTTGTGGGATCATATGGCGATGAACAGCTTCAGACTGGCTTGGGAATGTGTCCATGAGGACTACGGGTCAAGGCCGGCAATGCGAGCTGTTGTGCAGCGCATCCACAGCATGCTTCTTGATGTTGGTTGGGACTTCTTGATCCAAACAATGGACATGGAGCACCTTCTGACGACACCAGAGGCAGAGGATAACATCTGCAAGGTCTATGATGCTGAGTTACAAGGGGGTCATGAAGTGCAGCTAGCGTGAGGGATGGATGAGAACTGTAGAAGGATGCCACATTTCTAGATGTGAGGAGAGTAGAACGGAGGCCCTTGTGAGTACTGCTCTTTGTCTAAGTATATACTATGAATTCCTTTTTGTCTTAGCGAGTCATAGCACGTAGCATTACATTATCGGGTAGAATTCAAGCTCGTGATCTGCCTATTCAGTGTTACATGAAGTCTGCCGTACGCACAGCCAGCAGGCTGCAAGGTGCTCAAATCTTTCACATGCTGACAAGTGAAAGTCATTGTGTGGGTCTAGAGCTGAAACTGCGAATACTTACCTGCTTGTTTTGGGGACTGGATGTGTGGAGCCTTCATTAGATTCAGCCAAAGTTACGTTAGAGCAAGACGTGTTATGCACTGCACCTCTTGCTATTGGCTGCACGGGACATGTAAAAGTGATATGGCATTGTAAGCATTGGGCTTGTAGTTGTCATCCTTAAACTCCACGTTCTGGTATTGGATTTTCCCGATATAAATCAGAGAGTTAAAGTTGCGAAGTGATTTCAAAGCCCAGAGATCAAAGATTTCATAAATCTGTCCTCGGGTGGTTTTCATATTCATGTTATATTTTGGCTGGTTGTATCATCTTTCCCAGAATTTTATTCTGGTTTCAGTTTAGTAAGTTGGTCCTGGTTATCATCGGCTTTGAAACTCGTTTGCTATTGAGGTTAGACCTGCGTTGATGTTCACGTCAAATCGACTCAGACTTAAAACTCTGTTAGCTTCTTCCGTCAAATGTTAATTCAGTTGCATCACCATCAAGCTTTATCCTTGCATCCTATTCGCTGCGGTAGTTCCCATCTCGTGTGATCATCGTGTACCAATTTGAATCTTTGTTTTTCTTTTTTTTTGAAGGCTTGTGCAGAGCAGCTAGTAGGGAAGGTGATAAGAGCAGCCTTCCCTAGCAGCCTGCTAGTTGCCGCGCCATCTATTGGTGGGGAGCATCACCTGCTGGAAACCGGGTCCAGTGTCCCTTGAATACATCATTACAAAATATACATCATTTGGAACATGACACCACTGTGCAGGAAAACGGGTCCACCGTCCCATATCTAAAACCTTCCACTTCCTTTCCTAACCTACGGCGCGGGCGGGCATGGGGGGATGGCAACCGGGGGCCACCAGTGGGGTCTCCCTCCATCACCCAGCGTACCAATTTGAATCTCTATTGAGCTCATAGAGAATGCTAGATTTCTTTTCCGGCCTAGCGCAATTACTCCCTGGAGCTGAAGCCGGCAATTGCCCCTGTATCATCTTTGTACTCCATTTTATGATGCAGCGCTGGGCACTGGGCCCCCTGTACATCGGTTGCGTTCATGCTACCCTAACTAGACTGCTTGAATGAGATGGTCGATGTGAAAAAGTTAACATCATCTGGACTAAGTAGCAGAGGAAACACATGGTCGGATGCCAGATGTCTCTAGTGGAGGGTCGTGTGGTGTGCAAACTACTTTCTGAAACGCACAACTTCCTGCACGACTGTATTTCAGGGGATGAAAATAGGGGCCGACCCAGTTGCACAAGTGCCCCCGTCTTTTTGAGAAAGCTTGCCAATGGTCCCATGGCGGTTGATAGTTGGAGTGCACCATAGCGAGCGCGGAAATAACTGTTGTCGTAGCTTCTTTCTTCTTGCGCAAAAAGAAGGAACCTTTGGCATGGTCATCGCGCGGGAGAGATTGTTTTGAATTTTTGAAATACGGGGAAAAGCGGTAGTTAGGATTTGATTGGGTTAGAAATTAGGGGCATCGTAATTTGTCTCGGATTTTTGCTGTTTTAACTGCGCGATGCTCCTTACGCACACATGCATTGCTGCGTCCTGTCCTGCGCTCTGCTCCTGCCGCGCCTAAATTCTAATTGCAACTGTAAGTTCTTATTGCTCCTTCTTGTCGAGCACGGGTGTAACTGTAATCATCTCCCTCTTGATTGCCTTTCGTGCGAAAACCTGTGCCTCTTTTCTGTCCATCTCATTGGCTCAGAAGATGAATGACTGGATTGATATGTGGAGAGTGGCTACGTCCCCCACGCCGAGGCCCAGTCATGCAGTTGTAGGCACTTCCTTCTTCTCCCTTTCTCCAGTTTCAGCATAATCCGGAATTATCTCGCGAAAATACTAAGGGGTCGTGAGGGTTCGGTTACTCCGGGTAGACTGTGAGGACCCCGGCCTCAATCTTCATTTGAATTAAAAAAAAAAAATTAAAAAAAAAACAAAAAAAACAAAAAAAAAGGGGTCGTGAGGGTCATAAATTTGGCAAGCGTGACTAATTCGCTCCCTAGTCTAGACTTGGGAGTTAGCACGATCGAGGGAGCAGCTAACGAGCAGAGACGAGATGTGGAGTACGGAGTTGATCGAGGGGATCGGCTAACGAGTAGAGGCGAGACGTGGAGTAGAGAGTCGAGCGATCCGACAGGCTGGTGCTGGGTATGTGGGGTTGCGTGTGGCTGTGAAGGACTGTGGCACACGGGCGAGCCTGGTTTGCATGCTCGGACTAAGCGGGGTGACAATTTCAGGTTGTTGGTAGGTGCAAGACGACAGATGCCAGCATCGGAGAAATTTTGAGATAGATAGATAGATCGATAAATAGATAGATAGATAGATAGATAGATAGATAGATAGATAGAGAGAGAGAGAGAGAGAGATAGATAGGTAGATAGATAATAGATAGATATAT